TACGTGGAGTCAAAAAAAACTGTTGCATACACTGACTAAACAACTTTGAACAGAGAGAGGGGGCGATACGCGAGTGCCTACTGGCGTCGGCATAGGCCACGGAAGGGAAATTGCCTGCATTAGCATCTTTTGACAAGACAGCACTGTCACTTTCTTGATCTCAAGCTCTATTTTCGATAGGAATCACTGAGCCGATCCTAACAAAACTGTTCACCTTGTCCATCGGACATCAACCAATTTCTCTAAGGACCCAAGTCAACGGGTGTTAGTAACAGCCGAGACAATGGCTATGCGTACAGTGAATCTGATGCCCAGGAAACATCAATACAGGCCCTCTCTCGTCCGTGGCCGACGCCGCCATCAGGTGATGATAACGCGTCACCCATGCCCTTGATGACAGTTGTGTAGTCCACACACTGGACACTGAAATCCCGTCCACACTGACCAGAATCATGTTTAAATCCTGATCTATAATGTCAAATTTAACTCAAGTTTAACTGCAATTCTAATCGATTTCGGTTGGTTTAACGTTATCTAAAGTGAATTCGTATTTTTAAATGGGCAGTGCTTCTCGAGACGATGAAAATATAGCATAGGACGGAAAGGCGTGGGTGGATGAAGATAAGGTGTGGAAGGAGGGAGGCCCAAAAGAAGTAGGATAATTACAATAAGGACGAGGAGGGGATATGCAATCTGTTAGGGAAAAGAAACGGTCGCAGAAGTCGTTAAATGATTAACCGAAGGACTGCAACTCATTGGAGGGATTCAAAATTGGTATATGATGAGATGACTAATGAGGTTGAATGAGGCGTCGTTGTGGATGCCGTAGGTGGTCAAGGAGGAGGATTAAAGAGTAGAATGCCAGATGATATGGTAAGGGACTTACGGATAGAGGCTAAATTAACTTTGGACGAGGTTAGATGATGATGACGACAGTAAGAATATGATAAGGAGTTGGACGAGGATATGGGAGAAGGCAAAATACTCAGATGAGCAAAGGTCAGAGGGTGAGGTACAAGAAGAAAAACGCCCAAATAGGAGACAAATTGAAGAAAGAAACAAGCAAAAAGTAAATTGCATCTGCAAGGGGAGAAGGTCGAGAGGAGTTCGCTAAGAGGGGTGAATTACGAAGTTGAACACAGCGGATGAGAAAAGCTGGTCGCGATTGTACTACCGGCAGAAGCAAGAGGAAATGGGATGACAATTCCTGGCTTATTGGCCGTCGTCAGCCGCTCATTCGCAGACCCAAATGGAGCAGCACTCGAGACTCGAAATCATAATCTTTTCACCAGAAATCCAACACGCTAACCATTGAACCGTGAGGGCGTTGCACTGCTGATATAGATTGGGAGATATTGACACTTGTTGAGGAACGTTTACCAATCGCTAATTGAGCTCACTCACCAAAACGAACGACGACAGCGATATTATTGTGTACGATTACGATTGTGTGGCGGAGAAGGAGTAGGAAGATGACGTGTGCGAGGAGAAAAAAGAAGGAAAATTAAAAAGGAGAAAGGGAACAGAAGACGACGAAGAAGAAGAAACATTTGCGGGCAAAGAAGAGGTAGATAAAAGAATGGAATGAGCAGACACGGACGTAAGCAGAGGACGTTAACGAAGGAAAAGCCGGACGCTGCTGAAAATATGTATTTTCGAAACGGAGATTATATAAAGTAGTTAAAGGTGGGGGGAGAGGAAGGAGACAAAGACTATGAAGAGGAGAATGCAGTACAAAGAGAAGGTGTATGGGAGTATGAGGACCCTAAGGACGAGGATGCGTTAGGGCCGGTTTGTAAGTAATATATAGGGAAGCATTTCGCAGAACAGTATATTGAGGAAGTGTACGGAGATGATTACGAAAACTAAGTTATTTACGTAAGCAAAAATGAGTAAAAGCATAGGAGTTGGAAGTTAAATGACATAAAGTAGGAGGAAGAGGAGGTAGGGTCGGTAGTTCAAATGAAATAAATTAAGAAAAGGGCGTGGGGGTGACAAGAATGGGGTAGGTGGAAAGAGTGTTCACGTTTTGCTGACTTACTTCGCGCAGACGGGCACGTGCCAAGGCTCTCCACCGCCCACGGTGCAGATTCACTGGCCGCCCGTCCGTCCCTGCAATCCGTCTGACCAATCACCTGTTAAAGCCGAATCACCCAAAGGTAACCTCGGACCCTGTGACAGTGTCTGCGGTTACCTCTCTTCAGACGCGGCGCTTTGGCGGCGGTTGCTTCCTCGTCTGACAGTCAAATTATCCTCACCTATTCTCCTTTCCTCTTTAGAGAATAAAAAGTTTCCCAGCACTCAAGCCTCCCGTGTCTTCTCTCCTCCTAACGAAACGGAGCCTGAAGATCGCAGTTGCAAGAGTGTAACCGACTTAACCGCTGGGTTACGATGTGGTAGGAGGAGTAGCAGTAAGAGGAAGGGAAGGAGACGTATCGAAAATTAGTGTTGGAACAGTCGAGAAAGGTAACCTCATGGAGGTCGCCTAGGAGATAGACGTAGGAACACTGGAAAGGAATGTTAAGACCGCTGAGAAGAAGAAGAAGAAGAAACAAAGCATCTGAAAAAACGTGGTAAAACTCGCCACATTCATGATAAAGAAGGGCTAAAGGATAGGAAGTCAAGTCAAGTCAAATTTATTGAAGGAAATATAGGCAAACGCCTTTGA